AAACTTTACATATTTTAAACATGTCATTCTATGTGCCTTCAAAGCAAAGGAGAATTTTAAACTACTACAAGACCTTTAATAGGCCCACCTGCCAAAATCCAAAGGAGAAGAGGGAAAAAAAAAAAATGAAAAGGAGAGAAAAACCAGCCACACCGTAAAGAGTTGTCACTTTTGAAATACCTAACTGTTCAAAAATGCTTCACACTTCCACTGTTTACAAACAAGAAACAGTTATTAATGTTACCTTTCAATATTTAAAATGATTTTGAAAGCCATCAGCGATGCTGTTTTACTGTGTATTTGTTCTATTACTAGAAGTTACAAGAACACTGACAGACATCGAGACATTTATTAGATATATGGAGCCAGACATCATTTGCAGAACTATAAATCTTTACATGAGGGATGGGTGTGTCAAAGGCTCCTCTTACTTGGATACATGATAGCAGACACCTCATGGACATGAGCTGCTCAGATTATTGGAACTGGCTGTCTGAAGTGACTTACTCCTGTTTGCATGGCCCTAGGCCTCAAGGTCTTGTAGCTCAGTGATTCTCAACCAGGGGTACATGTATCTCTGGGGGTATGCAGAAGTCTTCCAGAGGGTACATCAACTTGTCTAGTTGCCTAGTTTTACAACAGACTACATAAAAAGCACTAACAATGTCAGTACAAACTAAAATTTCATACACACTTACTTTGAGGCCAAAAGGGACCATGATGATATTCTAGGGAGTCAGATTAGACTAACACTGATATAGGACTTCACCAAGCAATTCCTGCATCAACACGTAACTCTGTATACAGTCCACCATATCCTATTAAGTTATTCCAGTGGTTAAATTACCCTCACTAAAAATTTTCCATCTTGTTTCTAATCTAAATTTGTCTAGCTTCAGGTTCCAGCCATTGGATGTTATGCCCTTGTCTGCTAAATTAGACATGTAGAGGTTTATAGGCAGTAATCAAGTCATCACTTATCTACCGCGTCACCCTCTCTTGGGCAAATTAATAGATTAAACACAAATATCTGTCTCTCGCTGTGAGACAGGTATTCCAGACCTCAAGTCATTCTTGTAACTCTTTTTTGAGCCCTTTCTAATTTCTCAAAATCCTTTTTTGAAGTAGTACCAGAACTGGCTACAGAAGCCATCTCACTAATGCAATAGACCAATGGCATTAAACAACATTTTCTGAGATGCCAGATAAGGCAATGTCCAAATTTTCAGGTGTGTGCTCTCTAGTGAAACCAAGTCAATTCTTCACCTAGTTGGCAGGGATTGGGAATTTATGGCATGCATGCCAAAGATGTCATGCTGGTTGATTTTTAAATGGCACGCAGACTGTTAATCCAATCAAGTGCACAGCTGGGGATGCACTTCAGTTTGTTTCTCCTCTTTTCACCATCATGCCACGTATATATAAAGTCAGTTTATCCAAATTTCAACTGATCGAAAACCCTGGTTATCCGAATGAGTAGTGTCTCCCTGATGCTCATTGGGGTAATCAGGATTTATGGTCCTGAGGGTGGAAGGAGGGAGGGGGATTGCTGCAGAAGGCAGGAGCCTCCTTAGTACTTCTTGAGTGAGGAAAGATAGGAGGAAGAGGGGCAGAATAGGGAAGCTGGGAAAGACCCCAAGAAGCAAGTGTGACTCCCCTCAGAACCCATCCCACCCCTGCCTCCTGCTGCCTGTGCCCAGTTCATGTCCATGAGGTGCCTGCCCAGCACCTGGGGACCCTGCTGGAAGGTTGGCCCTGATACCTGGCTCCAGCTCCAACCAAGGATGGCCTTGCCAAGCAGCTCTGGCTGCGTGCTGGGGTCCTGGCAGCTCCAGTCGCTGCCGATCTTGGCTGCAGCATCCCCATGCTGACCTGCCTCTGTGCCTTCCCTCCCCCACAGGATACTCTGTGGCCAGGGAGGAAAAGGTGCCACCTAGCAGAGGACCACAGGGGCTGGAGCTGCCCATGAGGGCCTTCCGTTTGGCCCATTGGGCATCAGCTGTTCCATCCTACTCCCCCATCCTCCCTTCTATCCAGCTTGGAATCTCAGCAACTCTGGTCCCTTTCCCTCCCCAGCTGCAGGGCATCCTCTGAGCTGACAGGTACTGGCCTGGGCAGAGGCTGGGGTGGGCGTCTCAAAAGCAGGTCAGTACAGGGATGCTACGGCCAGGACAAGTAGGGCAGTATATGGGTTGGAGCTGTCAGGAGCCCCAAAGCAGAGCTGGAGCCAGTTAGTGGTGCTGCTCTTACAACAGAGCCCCCAGAGGGGAGCAGGTTGGGGACAGCTGATGCCCAATAGGCCCAATGTAATGCTTGCAACTGAAGAACACTGCCATACACAGCAGTATCACCACCTCCCTGCTTCTACTCGACATTCCCCCTACCTACACATCCAAGGATTGGATTTGATCTCAGCCATCACATCATACTATGAGCTCAAGTTGAGTTGGTTATCCACCAGAAACTCCCAACCGTGTCTCTGCTTTAAAAAGCAGTACCCGTCCTATAAGCAAAGCCTATATTCTCAATTCCTAGATGCATGACCTACACACACACACGACAGCCAATATATCAGTTCTGCCTGCAATCTGAATGCATCATCATATATTAGCACAAAACTTTCAGATAGTAAAGCTGTCATCTTTTTTCTAAGGCCACTTGGTTGCACCTCAGGGTGTGTGGACTAATTATAGAATGACACTGACGTGGATAAAGTGCCAAACTAATTATACAGAAGAATCAATCGGTTGACTTCACAAACAAATAAATCCAGTGACTCAGTTGGAAAACTAAACAGATTTAGTGACCTTAATCTGATATGAAGTAGGTAAGGCGTGTTCAGAAAGGTTTTCCCTTGCATATCCTACAAAGGAACATAGTGTATGCTCTCAATCAGTTTCTGAAGTTCTGGCTTTAAGTCCATGCTTTTACTGAAAAAAAATCTTGAGAATCTCTTCATTTGAGTTGTTCAAATACAATACTATCGTGCTTTTTTTGGGGCACAATTTCTTATGCTAGTTAAATTATTTGTGTAGCAGGTGTCAGGCAGCATATACAAACCTGAAGGTCAGTCTTTCTGTTTGCCTTATCAGAGATCTGGAGTATTAACATAGTAATGTCATGTACCCTTGAAGTAAAGAAAAAACAAAAGAGCATGGAAAGCCAAGAATTACGGAGCTTGCACAAAGTACGCTGAAGCTGATCAGAGTATTGGTTTCAGGAAGCAGGTTTGTAATAAGTCAACAATAAAATCTTTGCAGTTAAGGATATTTCAGGCACTCAATCTAAAAAGCACTACATGGGTGTGTGGGTGGGTGTGTGTGATATTATAATTTCTCCTTAATTAAAAGTTACAAAAAGTCCTATATAACCTAGCTGTCACAGGAGGCTCAAACATGATTCCCCCCTATCTGAAAGGCAAAAAAGTTTATGCCTAAATAAGCTTGGGATGGAGAGACCATTTTTAGTTTTTTTTTTTTTAAGTTGAAGTCTAAAAGAAACGGAGATGTTTTATATTATTGTGTATAGTTTACATTTTTCTGATGCTATCCTTCATTGCACTTGAAAAATGTGCAAGTACATCTAATTTGCATGTCTGAAATTAGACAGATATGTAATTACCATGTTCACCTGTGCCCATGCCAATGGATGATTTCACATCTGTGCCTGAAAAACTTAATATTTATTGGCCAGTTTGCAGTCGGCTTCCTTAAGACTTGATAAAGCCTGCATCTTTGTGAGAGTCCTGAAATATGTTACACTTTTCTTTGCAAAAAGGCATGATGAAAGTATATAACGTATGAAGTTTCACCTTGATTACAGAGATGAAAATTTCAGTTTACTCTATGAATTCCAAATTTCATATTTTAAGACACAAAAACCAATATATTAATTTGCTGGTTTTGGAGCTTTATGTTAGTTAGTTCCCTCCCTGAAACATTTGTAGAGCTTTTGTTTAACCATTTTTATGGCATTTTTGTCTATTTATTTTCAGAAGGCAGTCATAAGGTCTAGCTTTTTAACTGTGTACAATACGCAATACAGTGCTGGTAAAAGAGTGATCATGCATAAACAGTATCTGGTATGCATTCAAAACATACACGGGTTGCATGGATTTATGTTTCTGACATTTGCTTTAAATGGTTACCTCCATCCCTGAAATTCTTCAGAAGATACTTCACACTAATAATTTAGCACCTGGAGTCTTAGCAAGTTGCTACATGATTAAAAGACTAGTAGAGACTGTTTCTAACATGATTTGGTCAGCACCAAACATTTCCAAGCCAAAGTCTACTCTGAACTAGGCAAGTTTTGGGCAAGCTGTCTTGCACACAGTCTTGGCTAGGGCCAAGATTAAATATAGTTAAAAACCCAGTTCAGAGTCAAATTGTTCCTTGTTAACTTGTGTGGTATCACAGCACCCAGCCCCTTTTCTGCAATCTGCTTCTAAGCATCCAAGTCTCACTGCAGTCAGACTCTGGAGGATCCAAGAATTCATCACGTGTATCTTTTGGCCTATAAAAAAAAAAAAGTTAACCTCTGCAGACAATATGCAGTATAAGTGGAGCCCCTCACAAATTGAGGTTTCTCTAACAAGAGACATATAGTATTTCAATTATTTACAACCGGCATTGCAGTCTGTTCAGAACAGATGTACAAAGAGAATTTCCAGAAGCACTGCAAAATACAAAACTTTACTTTAACATACATAAGCCAAACTTCAGTTTATTTCTGACAAGTAACAATCAGAAGTTATCGGCAACCTACAGGTTTCGATGATTTCAAGAAAAGGTAGTGGAGTCACTAAGCTGAAGTGAAATCTGGAAGTTTTTAGTTACCACAGCAATCAACAAAAATATAAGGCTATATAAATATTTAATTTCTCCGGTATGTTTATCCTCCCTCTAGATCCAAATCAGTATCACAACGATGACCTATTGGAACCCTCTTAAGTCTTCCCCCCTCCCCGCACACAGATGGCTAGAAATTCAGCTACTTACAGAGAAAATGGGCAGGGTGAACCCCACTGCATAGAGGACAGTGGATGTGACGGTACTGTCATGGAATGGATACTTGATGCTGTCATCATTACAGAAAAAGCCTCTCTGATACGGCTTTATTTTGGCCAAGTTTAGAACACCCAGGGGTAAGCCAGCTGTTGGGGGAAGGGAAAAAAGACACAGATGGTTAAATTAAAATTCACTTTATCAGGCATGGAGAAAGCTTCATAACAACATGCAAAACTTAAGTTTCCCTTGAGTCAGTGCAGGATATTAAATACCATGCAATGCACACACTTGCCCAACCCTTGCTATAGCCAATGAAAAGGCTGCCTCTTAGTTAGGAACAATACATAATGTCACCTGCCAACAATCGCAGAAATTGGAGGGAGGTAAAGGAGTTCAAAGTCTTGTTTTTTTTAATTGATGAAAACATTGCCAGGTACTGAGCCAAGTTCTAGCCTTTGAAACTTATGTGCCACTCAACTCCAAATTTTAGTTAACAAGAATACTGGAGGGCAGACTATGGCCCCATTATTCTTTTTTAAAATGACATTGACCTTTCATTGAATTAACAGTGTGTAGAACAGTTTAAATATCTCATTAAAAATTTGAGTTCTGAAACCAAAGGAAGGAGAACCTTTCAAACTTTTTTTTGGAGAAGGAAAAAATAAGACGGAACCAAGTCTCATGATGGGAAAAAACAGTTCTGAAATGGGAAGAGGAGAGGAATTTCAAAGACACCGTCAGGAAACTGGACATCTTGAATGGAATAAGCTAGTTTATAATTATTTTTTAAACACTGACAAAAAACTTGCTTGCCTCATTTTATATAATTATTGTAGGCTTTAAATAGGACATGCATAAAGTGAATAGGATATGGCCCTTTATATTTAGAACTCTTCCAGTAGTAATCTCATCGATTTAATATATCATTTCTAAAAGGTAGCTGTGAGCCAAATAACCAAATATTTATAATCTTTTTACGTGAAGAGAACATTTACATTAATCCCCTTACCATCGGGACTTTCAGGGCTGGATTAACAACAGAGAGCTTGTTTACAAAAATGGATTTCTACTTTAACATTCCCAATTTCACTGCAGTGTCTACAAGTCTGGATACAACTTTTACATAAAGCAGAACAGAAAGACTCAGTTCCTCTAAAGAACAAAAGACATGCCTCTACTGGCTAGAGAGCCATTTGAATTCAGTGATAACGAACTACTCCAATAGGTTTCAGAGTGTACAGGTATCAGCAAAAACAATGGGGAGTCCTGTGGCACCTTAGAGACTAACAAATTTATTTGGGCATAAACTTTCGTGTGCTGGAGTCCATTTCATGATCTGATGAAGTAGGTTCTAGCCCACGAAAGCTTATGCCCAAATAAATTTGTTAGTCTCTAAGGTGCCACAAGGACTCCTTGTTGTTTTTACTCCGGTAGGGCTACTGAACATTAGCTATGCTAACGGACACAAATTTGTAGAGATATTAATTCCTATTAAAGATTCATATCAAGTTGTTTTTTCTTAATTCCTAACTTGATTTTCTTCCACCCTCTTCAATTAATAAATTTGTAAAGTTTCAAGTAATCCAGTCAAGAGCTCTGCACTCCTAAAGATCGGACTGAATAATGCAGAGACCGAAGATGGAGGTGAGCAAAAGCTACACCCTGGAATCCAAATCCCTACAAATTTTGGAGTAAGTGTGGGGGAAGAGTCTCAAAGGTCCAAATCCAAACCAGGCCTGCAGTTTTGGTTTCGTGTCACAGCCAAAACCACATGGGGCCCATATTTTAGTACAGAAAAGACCCAAACCTTGTGAAGGCAGCTCACCAGAGTTCAGCACCTTCAGACTTTAAGTATAATCCTGATTCACCCCATATCCTAGCCTAAACCTATTTCAGATCCAAAGCACCGCCTCATTTATTCATCTCTGAATGACATCTCTCCTTCTCAAGTTAAGCAGTGCATTTCCTTCAAAAGTCTTTACACAAGACTTTAAAAGAACAGAGGGACTCAGAACTCCTTTCTAATCTAAGGAGTCCAGTCTTCCATATTTTTGTTTATATAGCAGTAAACGGAAATTCAACACATGCCAGTAAGTAAAATACTCTAACTTAGAATGGGTTCAAAATCTTAGCCCTAAAGAACTTACAATTCAAAATATTGAAGAGTACAGTGCCTTGAATAAAGTCAAAGAGGCACGTGCCCATTATCACCAACAAGCTTCACAGAAAAGGACCCGATTTTGAAGGAGAAGAAACAGGGTAAAAGACAACTCTAAGGCACAGGTTAATAAGTAGGAGCAGAGGAATAGTCAGACAAATGGCACAGAAAGGTAGTGATACTCTGAGGCTTTTGCAACCTGAAATAGGGAAAGAAAAAAGTCAGTGTGGTGGGAGAGGAGTACAACCTTGACATCAATGTTTGTGCATTCATGCAACAGACCCCAAATTCCAGTTCATTTGACTTTCACAACACTTCAGAGAGTCTTTGTTTTTGAAAACCCACATCTTCCTGGATTCATTCATTAAGATTGTTTGTGGTCAGAATATACATAGATATTTGTATAAATATAGTTTAAAGGTATCTACCAAACTTCTTAATTTTTTTAGTTTCTATTTGTTTCTACCAACTAATTTCTCAACTTTCTCTAGTATCTCTGCATTGTGCAATTTATATAATTAGAACAGCTCTCACTGAACTCATTTTTTCCAGATTCCAAAGCAGCTAACATTTTATTCAATAATCCACTAGTCACCTTATCAATATACAAACATAATTGGTGTTCCCCATATTAAGTTGCCTGTTAGTCACTCCTCTCTTTGTGGTCCCTTTCATCCTCAAGACCACTCCAGTTTCAAAGTTTTGATCTAGAGTTCTGCGTGTTGTAGTTCTCTTCCAGACACCTTCAACTTTCAGAGATGAGCCCCCCCTTCCTTTCTGTATCCTTGTAGAGACCCTCATCTACCAGAATTACAAAATGGTATGCACAACAGACTTTCGACCACAGCAAGTGTTTACAAGTAGATTCGATTTGGAAGGATTAGATTTTTATCTGAGCCAGTGAGTGTCAATTTCACCACACCCCACGCACACACAAATATTTCCATTGATAAGAAAAATTTACAGATAGGCAGAGTAAGAAAAATGCTGCTTGAGAATTTAGAGTTTGATTTCTGGATATTTATTATATTTATTTTGGCATGTGATATTGACAATGTGTGTTTTATTGATTATAAAGCTTTAATTTCTTGAATCTCAACATCTGTGGGGGTCAGACAATTATTTAATGACATTGTCCAAAATTTTGGACAACTAAAGATTTCCAAAATAAATGATAAAATAAAAAAATGCATAAGAACAAACATGGATAATATCCATGTAAATTTTCAAAATTGATGTCAGCCGAGCCTATTTATTAGTTATATCCAGGCAAATAGAGAGCTTCCTTAATAGAAATGCAAAGTGTCAGGTCTCCTTCTATAGGAGATGCTGAGAAAGGGGCATCAGGTCTGGCCTTGAAGAACTGGAATGGGAGGCAAGTCAGCCAGTTTTTGTTCATCCCTTGCCCCATCTCCAGCTATTTCAAACCCCCTCAAGTCTAGTCCAAATCACAGAGCACCCTAATTCCAATAGAGGTCAACTTTGATAACAGCTTAGTTATTAAATACCCAGTTCTATCTTTAGAAAATTTTAGATCACAAAAGGCAGTGGAGCACACACGCAGTAAGATGGCATCTGTTAAAATAAGCCTCTTGCTGCTACAGGAAAAGACTCTTTTCTCCTCCTCTTGCTCTTTATATAATGATTTATTGCTTGTATTCCAGCAGCACCAAGAGTAAACTAAGTACTGCACACACCTGCAGAGGCAAATAGTTCCTGCCCTGAAGAGTACACCAGTTTATCCAATCTCTGTTTCCCTTCAGCCAGAAAAAACAGTCAATAGGCTAATAATGTTCATTCAGAAAAAAAAAAAAAAGAAGTGTTAACCAATTCCTAATAAGGCCCACTAAGGCACCCCAATGAGAGTGGGCTCAGATTAGGGTTGCCAACTCTCCAGGATTGTCCTGGAATCTCCAGGAATTAAAGATTAATCTTGAATTGAAGATCACATGTGATGAAACCTCCAGAAATATGTCCAACCAAAATTGGCAACCCTAGGTCAGATGCATGCTGCCCACACTACACTGGCACTGTGACAATGAGGTCACACATGCTCCATATTTCAGTCATATGTAGCCCCTTGGGCTACATGAGAATTAGAAGTTTCTTGTAAAAGTCTTTACTCCATGTACAGCTGCCATCTTCAAGTTTCCTGGCTGTGCAACAGGAGTGTCTTATACCAATCTAAAACAAAAGGAATAGGCTGCAACTGTCTCTTATTGCAGCCACAGCATTACATACCTTCTGTTAATTTATTGTTCTTCCTTATTTTATAGAGGTTATGACAGAATATAAAGTTAAATACAGGCATTAACATTGTTCAACATAATTTATACAAGATAAGCCAAAGTGATTATTACTTAGTAGCAGTTACGTAATGGACCCTGAACTAGGGGTAAAGGATAAAGGCATTACTGTACTGTTCTAAGAACAGTCACAGTTCATGATAAGAAAAAAGTTTTCCTCACTTTATTTTAAAACAAAAATCACAAGTTACTCTTTTAGTTTGGTGACACTTGTTTCTTTAAAAAGGCATCATCAAGAACTTAAAATCTCAGATTTTAAGTCTAATTTCCTTATTCATGTTGCCAATATTAAAATTGGCTATGTTAAGAGTCTAGTTTACTTCTAATTATGCTGTTTCTTACCCTTCTTTCTCCCCTTTCCTCAATTTGAGTAGTCAGAAAACTATTGTAGCTCTTCTCAGTCTTAGCCACCACTGATTTCACTTCTTGGTTCTCACATACTAGTCACGCTATAGTATTTGGTTTGAAAACATTGTAGGGGAATGTTTTGGACACAACACACTTTTGTTTAACTGAACCTGAAACAAAAGTAGTTTTAGGCACACAAGTTTCATAGTCTGGGCTGCAGTGAAATACTCATGTGTATTTGTTTTATTCACAAAAATAAAGTTATGCATATGCACTGGAACTACTCACAGCACCACAGCATAAAGTTAAGCACATAAGTATGTTCCTGAAACTC